CACTTCAGAAAGCCACCTGCATTTTTAAAGCTCCCTTTCTTTACTGTGCCATCAGTACTCCGGGGTGACTGAGCACCTCTGCTTCTCTGAACCCATTGGCCATTGGTGTTCATTGTGCTCTTTGTGCATAGGCAGCTGCTCAAAACACTGTCCTAGGACAGGGTCAGTGGGCAGTGTTTCGTTGGGCTTGGTAACAAATTACAACAGAAACACTGGCATTTGGGGAAGAAAGAAAGGGTGGGTGGAAAGGATGTAATTTTGTTGGTGAGCAGACGTCATGTCCTCCTCTAGCAGCTACTCATTGTCTCTGTGACAGCGATGCATGGGTTTAATGCACCTGCTGCTGGTCCCTGAAAACATGGCTGCAAGTCCTGTTCTAGAGAACAAATGGAAACAAATTGGATGTCTTTGCATCCTGATCTCTAGCGGGTATTTGCCTAATTTCATAACATTGTCACATGTGGTAGTACCTTCCTGCAAGAGGCCCCTGGCTGAAATAACAGGGGCTACTGCAAGTCAAGGCTGAGTGGTATTGGAAAAGCCGCGTGGTAGCAGTTCATGAGCAGGAGTGCTGTGGGTCAGGACGGAGGAGCCTTGGCAGAGCTGCTCAGAGATGCAGGGCACAAAGAGCAGAAACTGGGTTATCGGCCCTGGCAGCGCAGAAGGGCAGACCAGGGCTGGTATAGGAGAAGCTGCTGTTGGTCAGGCCTGACTTAAATTGGCAGCTCGAGCTAGAGAAATTCAGTGTTGGCCCGCATGCAGGTTGTATCCAATGTATCCAAGAATGAAAGTTTAGTAATTGCACTTTTAAAAACGGGGAAAGTGGGGCAGGGGGAGTGGTGGTAGCATGTGTACCCGTTTGGTGCAGAAGATGGCAACCATCAGCGTGGCCTCAGCTAGTAACCCTTCAGTGGCACAACATGAATCACAGGGAAGACTAAAAAGGTAGCGGTTAAGTTTATTTATCCCTCTTTAAAGTCGATAAAGTCGAGCTTTAACTTGGATCCACTACCTTCAATTGGAAAATATTTTTGCTTGACAGAAAGTGCTGTTAAAAGACAGAATTTAACCATAGTCCCTTCCTTCTTACACATCCTAGATCTCGCTAGGAAGATGAAATTCTTAGATGCCTCCAACAAGTAGGAGAAACAGCTCATTTAAAACGGGGCTTTGTCTTCTGCTGAGTGGAAGCCACCTGCTTCCTGGGGAGTTTCAACTCTTCCATCTTAAATGGGATTGAAGATCTTTTTCTCTGAACTTTATTCAAGCCTTGATGCCTGTATGAGTGGTGAACATGAAAGGGGATCTCTTATACCCTATATCTTTTGATTCAATTGCATCTGCTGGGCCCCAGCTGCTTAATCAAATTATTCAGGATGTTCTGTGTACTGCCAGTGCCATTTTCAGAATCAGTAAGCTTTACAAGTTATCGAAGAGTATTTGAAAGCTTTCTAAGCCACTGACCTGTAGTTCTCTGGCTAAGCATGTACTGCAACAGAAGCCCTTAGGGATTCTCTATTTAAAATGTCACCACCCTACTGTGGACTTTGCACCAGTCATTAAAGAGGGACGCTGCCTTGCAATGGGAAGCCCAGGGTCTAAATCTGTTAAAGACTCAGGAAGTTATCTCCCAGCACAAATATTGACTACAGTGAAGTGCTACAAAGTAAAAATTATGAAAGCAAAGAAAGTTCCCACACCTTAACTCTTTTTAACTTTGAAAACTCCAGGTGAGAGGTTTATCTTCCTTTTACAGCTGGGGAAATTGAGCTTAAAGTATTTTGGCTGAGTCCCTACAGTGCCAGAGTAGAAATTACTATCCAAGATTTTTGTCCAATTCCTGCTTTTCTCAATCCTCCCCAGACCACTTTAGCCCTAGACTGATCTGCTTACACCCAGATAGTAGCCTTCAGGGGGTTTGCAAATCCTTGGGCTTTTCTGGGAACCTTGTGGTTTTGAATTCATCTTAAATCCATGGTTAAATTCCAGCCACTTAACCTCAGTGCGAGTCTTGTAGTTATCTTTTTTTTTTCCCCCTTGCTGTCTCTAAAAGAAAAAGCTAAGGCATTTCATCCTCTTGCTGATCTCTTGGGTCAGAGACCAGCGTCTCCATCCGCATCCCAGTTGGAACAGGAAGTTCCCTTTTCATTTGGGACTTCTCTCCGTATCTCTCCAAATGACACAGTGACTGATAGAGACCCCCTTCGGTTTGGGGTCATTGATGATGCAGATGCAGATTCCCTGCGGACTTGTAGGCAAACGTTTTAGGTCCGTCTACATTTTCCCAACAAAAGGCTCCATTTCTGTGAGAAACGTAACGGTCAGCATAACCAGTGTCTTTGTTGGAAGTTTTTATGCTTCTGCTGTTTCAGCCCACCATGTTTATTGTTTCCATCTCTTGTCTGCAGTGGCGTCCTTATTTAGAAAAAAGTAAAGCAACCCCCACTATTTTTTACCATAGATTGCAATGCGGCAGCACATAAAAAAAAAAAAAAAAAATCTCACCTCAGTTTAAGCACAGCTTCTCCCATCAATGCCAAGCTTATCGGTCCCATCTCAGTTTCTGCCAGTGTTGAAGATGGGAGGGAATGGAAATCCCAGAAAGCTGGACTGCTGTTGGATAACCTAAAATGCAAAAAAAACTGTGTGCAGAAGATGAGTTACTCCTTCTACTTGGGTTCAGATGAATGCTTTTAGGGGAACGTTTCTGATTGTGCGCATTATCTGGCAGATAGAGACCCCGTTCCTGCTCTGTGGATTCAGTCCCTGATCCTTTAATCACTTGTGTTGATGGGTGGGAGGCTCAAATGCCAAGTTGCTTGCTGGTATCTAATTCTTTGAAACAACTGCCCAGGGAAGAATTGTGATTCTACTTTTCCTCTTTCTCTTGTAGGTGTCAGTGAAGTTTGGTTACCCTGGTGTGTTTTCCAGGAGATAAGGAACAATTGACTCTTGTTGGATCACAGCCTTTACCCGTAGTTTATCAGGGGGTGAGAAATAGCTGACATTTGACTGGTCCTACCAAGAGCTTAGAAGTTATGAAAACGCTGTTAACCACCCCCTGTAAAAAGGTCTCTTGTGACTGTGTTAGGAGACCAAACAAACATACTCTCCTACTTTAAAAAGTGAAATATTAAGATGGGGAATATATGGGTGGCTCAACAGCTGAGCTCTCAATCGTTTAAGCTCTGGAAACCTGGGTCCAAATATTGGTTTTGTCACAATGAACACTCTTGGGTGGCCATTGGCGTAGTTGTGTAGGGGCACACGTTCACATCACTAAGCGTATTGCACGCATGGACATTAAGCCCAGTAGAGCACAATTCATCAAGGATTGAGAGAGCTGCAGGTCAAAACTGAGGTGTTAGCAGAGCTGCGTGAAGGCTCCGGGAGAGCACTTCACATATGTATCTGGCCTTAGCCATTGATACGCAAAGATCTTTTTACCCTTGTGAGTGCCAGCTTTGCAGTTTTGAGAGAAATGAAAGCAGAGTCGGAAGGAGGAAGGAACAAGAGAGAAAGTAGAATGGGTGAAAGCATTGTGGAAAGCTGATTCATAGTTGCACAGTAATGACTTTGTCCCAGGGGTAGGTTTTCCTAAATGCACAGACCCTTTCTTTCCCCTCCTCAAGTTGTAGTATCCAGTATCTAGACAGGCAAGTAAAAGCTGCCAACCAGTGGAAAGAAAATACTTAGGGCCCGATCCTGTGTCACCTATTTGATCCAATGCCACGCTGCTCATGTCCCTGGGGAAAAAAGCATCAATGAACCTACTATTGTGACATACCACTGGGTTTGCCTTAAGAGAAAGCCACAGAAACAGAAGATAGGGGGCAGATAGGAAGACTTTTGCATGAACTGATTTTTCAGGGTCTGAGGATGGAATAGGATCACACTGGGGAAAGGAAGTCCATGTAGATATTTAATAGTGGGGATAAGTTCTGGCCCTCAACCTCTTATGCTCTTTGGTAAAAGAATAATCCAGTCAGGGAGGAAGTTGGTGAAATGGACTGCTGAAAGCAAATGTTAATGAACCCTTGAAGGAAAATCCTATGTTGGGAAACCACAGATTCTCCAGCCATAGCCCCAGAAATCAGATCTTGTAAATGCTTTAATACCGAAGGCATGGTACATCCTGTCCTATTGAGCAAGGAATTCCAACGTCTAAGGGTTAAGAAACCAGACATATTGTCAGAAGCTCCCGTACTATCGGCTTTCTGTTGTTGTTCATGGCTGTGTCTTCACGGAACAGAGCGCCAGCTCCAGCTGTGTTAGTTTGCAAAGTCTTTGTGGGTCTTTGCTGTACAGTCCCTGTTTTTGCTGAGGGATTGGGGAAGGGAAGGACTTCTGCTTATGTTCTGTTTGTTGGGAGACTGTCACCAGAGCTGGAGTGTGCACCGCTCTGCACATGTGGATGCTGCTGTCCTGCTTCCTTGTGCCTTTTTCTTTCCTTTCATTTAAAGGGATTTGCTATAAATTCCCAGAAGTGCCTTGTCGGACATAGGATCTGCCCCTTACACTCATTTTAATGGTTTTACAGTTACAGAAACAAATGATTTTAAGACGTGAGCCGTGGTGCCGGTTGTTTTTTTAGCATGGCTCTTTGAATTCCTCTGCAGATTGGCTATCAGTAAGCATTTGATTCTGTCCACAGGAGCAGCCAGGGCTGGAGTCTAACACCTCTCTGTAACCTTTGCCTGTTTCTGCCTGAAGTATGCTCATCAAGGGTTTGAGAGGGAGGGCAACAGTTGGGTGGGGGGCGGTGGACTGTAGCTGTCCATGAGACGATGAGTACAATACAAGGGCATTATATTTCCTTCAGCATCGTGTTCCACTTCGGCACATCCAGCTGAACTTGCTTCATCAGCCCAGGGCTTTTCACTTTTTCCTTTTCCATGGCAGAGTTGGCGGAGATTGGCCACCCCCTTCCCTGGGACAGCTCTTTTGGCCAGAGTGTGGCAGAGAGCCATTGATGGCGCATGTCTGCTTTTCCTTTCTAGAAAACGTCCATCTCCATCCCAGAATGCTGCTGCACCTGAGAGGCTCGAAGCTCTGAAATACCAGCGGATAAAGAAGCCCAAAAAGTCATCCAAGGGCTCCTCGAAATCCAAAAAACAATCCAGTGAGTGTGAAGATCTCAGGACTCTCCGCTACACTCCCCATCCTGCTCGTTAGTCTGTACCTGAATGGGAGTTAATTCCAGCGTTTGGTCTCTACCTGAGCTCACGCAGCAAATCTGTTTTATTTCCCTGCTCCGCAATCCCTTTCCAAGGAATCGGGCTCTTTCCATGAGGCTGCTGGGGTTCCCCTGCTTCTTTGGTTTGTCAAAATGAAGACTCGGTCTCCTAGTTTTTGTTGCAATGGTTCCCAGACCTTAACCCAAAAATGGAAAGCAGTAACTTCCCTTATAGCCTGGAGTGGTTAGAGTTGCCCAGCTGGGGAGTCTTGAAATGACCCCTCTCCAGCCCCTTCAGAGGCCTTCTTTGACCTGTAAATTTAAACTCCTGATCCTTGCCTTAATTCTGCTCCCCCCCTTACTTGCATCTCTGCTTTCATTTCTCCCTGCATCCCAACTAGCTTCCTGTGTTCTCCTCCGTTCTCTCCTGACTCTTTCTTCTGTCTTCTCCTCCCCTCTCTCCATGCCCCTTTGCAGTTGGAGCAACCTTTTCTTCAAATCCTTTGAAGGAGTTCCTTCAAAAATCCTCCTTCTTTAGCCGGGCCTCCTTTTTATTAACGCCCTCCCCAGCCAAGTCACCTGGCTGGGATGTTGTCCTAGTTGGGGCGCAAGCTTCTTGGCCCAAACTAGGACTTAATTCCATGCAACTTTTTTGCAAGCTCTTGAAAATGCCATGCCTGCTCGTGGTACCCTGAAGAAATGAAAGTGGCTAATTACTTGTCCATCTCCCTCCTCTTCTTCCCCCTCCCCAGATGGTTCTGCCTCCCAGGTTCAGCAACTTCCCAACTCTCAGGTACTGTGGCCTGATGAAGCTGTCTGCCTCCGCAAGAAGAAGAGACACCCTCGTCAGGACCCTTTCGCCCGCCTCTCAGCGCTGAAGGATGACCTCTGTCATCGGCAGCTTCCTGAAGACCAGACAGCTATTCTCAACAGCGTGGACCATGACGACTCCAGCGGGCATGCCACCTTACTTTAGCGTAGTGCCAGCTCAAGAAGGTTCAAATGGAGGGGGGGAGGGAGCAGAGATCTCAAGAACTACACACACATTAGGGGAAAAGGTTGGGGGGGGCGGGGAGGGAGGAGGTTGAGGGTGTGGAGACGGGATATGATCTCTAGGTCTGGCTCTCATGCCAGTGGGCTGAGCACACTGGATGCACATGTTCTTTGGTATTAACACACAGGAAACCAGCATCCAGTCTCTGCCTACAGGGAGAGACTCCCCATCCTTTCTGGGGAGCTTCTATTTTAGAGTTACTCGAGGAGGGGGCAGGAGGAAGGATATTCGAAACAAGGGGGAAAGTGCTACTCCTCCCTGTCTGCCTCCTCCACAAGGTTTGGCCTCGCTTCAGAGAAGCAGGAAACGGTGAGGCTGGGAAGTGCAATGCTAGGAGTGAAAGGATTTAAAACTTTGGACTGTTGTAAGAATTTGGTGTTCCTCAAATCCACTTTTCTCTGTTACAGCTTCAGTTTTATGATCCCTGGAAGGCGGATGAGATTTTCTCTCTTGGTTTCAATAATTAATGTATTGATTAAGGAAAGCATAGGTGCAAATTAGATTGTATATTTATATGGGGCGTATTGAGGTAGGGAACGTGGAAGCAGACAAATGACCGTGAATGACAGGAATAATTAGGATTACGCAGGATGCAATTCAGTGACATGAAACAAACACGCCAGGTTGGAACTGCTGACCCAGTGAATCTGATGATTTTATAATAAAAGATTAAAGAACCACCACAGAAAATTCTGGTTGTGCAAAATCTTCTTGCCTGTCCACATCTTTTTCTGTGGGGAAGATGGTAACAAAAACACACACGAATTTTTCCTAATCTGCCCCAACATAGACAAACCCTCAAGATAAGCAAATAGGTGGAATTGTGCAAAGCTGAACTTGTACATATGGAACCTGTTAACTTGTACTAACAATAATTGGCAGATGAGCAAGGACAGACATGTTTTTTAAAATCCAAGGATATTTTATTCCAAACTCTACGTTGTTGATTTTGATGAGGGTAGTTTAGATTAGTTTATGATGATGCTTCATATGGTAGTAGTAAATGTCCTGTAGTACAATTTGTAGAATTAATGAAGTCTTGGTAGTAATGAGAGCTTAATACAAGGGTGTTTTGTGTTCTTTAAGCTTAGCTGCAATAAGGGGAGGAGTGAGAACTGACTTTTCTGTCTGCAGAGTGCAAATGAACAACATCTGACTCTGTACCCCCCAAAAAACAGCCTGTATTGGAATTGCTTTCAGTCTGCACTTTCAAACCGTGTCTGATCAATGTAAGCACAGCAGCATCGCAGAGGGCTTCTGGAAAGTGTTTCTGATGCATAGAACGAAATAATCATTTCTAGGGGCAGCTGGTAAAAACAAATCCCATTGTCTTGCATCAGTTCTGAAGTTTCTAAAGCGTTGCTGAGAGTTTCATTGTGTCCCTTCTTTTTTACCTCCGCCATTTTCAGACTGAATGTTGTGTTGGGTTTTAACACTCCCATGGCTCAGTCTTTGTAATTATGACAGTGCCATTCCAAATTCTCACCGGAGTGTATTCTGTTCAAATTGTATTAAGGCAGATTCACCTGTCAGTCAGCTTCCTTCTGGATTGCATAGGCCTGTATAAGAGGGACAATTGCATTCTGCTGGACGGAGTATGAGACTAAGAGTCAGGACACTTGGGTGCTATTTTGTGCTCTGCCACTGACTTGCTGTGTGGCCGTGGGCAAGTCACCTAACCTCTCTGTGCCTCAGTTTCCCTGTCTGTAAAACGGGGGTAAATGGTACTTAAGCACCTTTATCAAAGCACTTTGACATCCACAAACGAGAAGTGCTCTAAAAGTGCTGAGTAGTATTAAAATAGTATCTCTATATTCATAAATACTTAGCCACTTTAAGTAGCGAGATTGAATATTGTATTCCAATCTTTGCACATTTCTTCCCTTGTGGTGGAGTACCAAGATTTTTGCCTGCCTGGGAATAAGTGGTTACATTAGTAAAGAATTTAGCATGGACGTTTTTGTTTTAAGTGGATTGAGGATGTAGAAGATGCCTCAGATGACTCCTAGGAGGACAAGGCTCTTGGCATACGTTCTCCCCTTGCCCTCTGTCCTACCTCTGTCCCAAGTAACATTGCCAAGAAATTGTTCCCAGTCTTCTTGTGCTGGTGATTTGGTTGGTTATTATTCTAGCTAATGGTTGAAGCTGGGAGAAAAATCCAAGAGTCCTGTTAAGCCAGAAAAAAACAGTTTTGATTTAGCCACCTCAACAGGTCAAGTACTTTGGTAAGTTTTGAGATGAAGTGTGCTTTTCATCCAGGCCAGAAATACCCTGAACAGATTCTGGTTTGAGGGAGGATATCCTGAATAATACCTCAAGCATGGATCAAAGCATTTGGGCAAGTGTATAATTGGCATCCCTGACACTATATTATCCACTGGCTGGGCGGGAATCCAGCTTTGCCTGCAGCTCGACTATTTCTTCAGCTTCAGTGCATTTTTAGGGATTGCCATAGACTCCATTAGGACGTGGACTGGATCTAGTATCACTGCACGCTAGGTAGTGACAACTCTGTTTCTATGACGTCAGCTCACAGACTGGTACCAGAAAAACTGGTTTCTGGTCGGATCCGACCGGCCAGTTGCTTTTTAAAATGTCTTGACTGGCAAAGGGGAAGGGAATAGCTGGTAGGTACCGTCTCAAATTTTTCCTGGGAACCTTGGACTTTGGAGGTCCTGTCCCATTTGGCAAACTCCATTCGTGTGTGTGCGTGCACGCAAACGTCACAAGACTGGTTGCATGCCAGTCACGCTGCACAGACGTGGGTTTTATTTTCCTGCTACCGACCTACAGGTGAAATTCAACCCTTTGCGGAGGGGTATGAAAATGTCCTGCTGAGTTTTTGTTGGAAGAGGCGCATCGCTTTTGTACTAGCTTTCCATATAAGACCACTATTTGCAAAGGCCCCTCTTTCTTTTGCTCTTACTTTGTAAAGCTCTGTGCAAGCCGTTTGCCTCCTAAATGCTTTCTGGATTATTTGCAGTAGCCCTTCATATTAATAGGGCACATGTCTTGGAGTGAATGTCTCCTGGATTATATATTTCTAGAGAACTAAGATGTAGGGAAGACTGTCAGAATATGTCAGCTTGCTTAGTCAGTCCTGTACGAGTTTGTTTTCCTTTGCAGGGGTATATTGGTAGCCGTGTTGGTCTGAGACAAAAAGAAAGGCAAAGCTCTAGAGCTCTTGGTTCAGAGATGATACCTTTTATTAGACCAAATAAGAACTTGCAAAAAAAGAAAAAGCTTTTTCTGCAAGCTTTTTACTTGGCAGGCATTTTGAGTAGATGGTCCCTGCTTTCCATGACCTTCAACCTTTAAAGGCTGGAGCTGCAGCTCTCTCCACCTTTCTTTCAGTTGTGTACCGCATATAGGACCCTGGGATGGGGAAATCCAGCCAGTGAGCCTCATGGATCCATCTGAAACAACTTTCTTTATCCTTTTACAGCAGTCTCTTCACCATCTCCTTTACCTTGGCTGTTGTCATAGTTAATGATTTTTTGGGAGGAAAAAGCTGGCCAAGGAAGGAAACATTTTGGCTGTTTTCAACCACAGTGACTACCCTCTGGAGAGGAAATCTTACCAAATCCTGGCCTGTGCTTTGGCAAATAGCCTCTGCTCCTTGACAGCTACGTTCTTGCTTCTCACAACTCTGTCTGGTTTTGATTTGCTCCTGTAGGGCTTTCTCTTCCCCTCATGGACCCAGAACATATTTGAATTGTGTCAAACGATGCCAAATATTTCCCGTTTCATCCCAGTTTTGAAACTCCTTTTGGTTATCTGCAAACACAGCTGCTTATTTATGTGGCAAAGAATATGCCTGGGGCCAAATTCTTTTACTTTGCTAATCTGTCCAAAGTGGAAAGGTTACTGTTTATCATTAACACTGTAGTTCCTCCTTTGCAAGCATGGCGGTTTTTCTAAGTCGCCTGAAAGAAAAAAAAAAAAAGACAGAGAATCCCAAGCAATGGTGAAAAATTGTTTCCCAGGGACTGTGAGGCATCACCGGC